ATGGCTATAACCAATCTAGTGATAAATGGATGAAATATCTTTGCATCGATGATCATTTAATTGGACCGTGCCTGAGCAGTTGATCCTTTTGGTGGAATTTTGTTAATTGCTATTTTTAGTGAATTGTGCTTTGTGAGTTAGTTTTGAATTTTGTTTGTTTTATTTGATTTTATTTTCATTTGCCTCCCATTGAAAATCCCCCAATTTTGTTCTACTGATTTGGAAAGAAATAATTTCCTACCTGCTCCCTGTGGAATCGACCCTACTTGCCATTGTACGCAAAATTAGTATTTTTATAGACAAACCCGGTATATCGGATCAAGCAAACTCTTCGGGAATAGGGTGAATCAAGTAACCCATTGCACACCTAGAGTCCCTGCTCCAGTACTTGGATTTGTTCTATAATTATTTAATTGAGGTGGTAATTAGGACTTTTTAGTAATTATTATTGCACAGGTTCGACACCTGTCAAGAGGTGGCAAATCAACCCACTTAATTAAATTTACCCATACCCGCCCATGAAAAGATGGGTATGGGTATCTTAAATTTTTATATATGGGTATAAATGGGTTACCCAATAATACCCATTTAATAAATGGGTATTATTGGGTAACCCATCAAACCCAATTAACCCATTTAGAATTCTCTTCCCCCCAATCTCTTCTTTTCCCCCACCCATTTTTGTTTCAAATTTTTCATTTTGTCATGATGTTAACTACTTTTTTTTCATTATTTTCATTATTATTATTATTATTATTTGTTGGTTTTATCTTGTTATTTTATTTTCTCTTAGTTTGTTAACTTGCTCATTTTTCAGCATTACTCATTTATGATAAATTTTAGCCTATTTTCTTATCTTTCTAAAATGAAATTTTAAATTTATATATGAAAAAAATGTTAGGGGTTCAAAATTTTTGGATTAAGTTTTTATATTAATTTTTATAGTACTTAGTTCAAATTTTTATATTCTTATTATTCAATTATTAAATAATAGGTAATTTTGTGACATAGAGTATAAATGAAAAAAAATTGGTAATTAAGTTTATTGAACATTATAAATAAATATTTAAAACTAATGATGGGTACAAAGAGTGGTATAAATTGATAACTTAGTTTGAAAAAATGAATTTAAATGAGTTTACAAAAAGTTAAAATAAATGAGTTATAAATGGGTAATTGGGTTACCCAATTCATTTTTTGACTTACCCATTTATACCCATCTAATTAAATGGGTATAAATGAGTTGACTCACATATACCCATTACCCATTTTACCCAACCCAAACCCGCCCAAGTCACTCATTTTGACACCTCTAGTGGGGAGTGAATTCTCGAATGACGATGGCTTTTAGAAAGAGTTCCTAAATTGTGAGACATATTAAAAGAGTATAATGCGGTGAATAGGCTCCTTAAAAAATGTATTCAGTTAATACAACTTCTGAGGAATAAATATCTTGAAAAATTAAAGACATATTATGTGAATCAAATTGAGGAGACATTAAATTCAGTCAAAAATCACTCTTTTGGGGAGAGGTATCATAACTATCACCTTTTGGAAAATTCGTTTGAAAATTGACATTCTTTAGGAATTTACAGGGTTAGTGGGGCTTGGCAAAATTCCAAGTCCAGCTATAGAATTTTAAAAATTCTTTGTTTTTCCCCCACTAACTTGTCAATGCTCCCCTGTTGATCGAGAAAAGTATCGATCACCGGTATTGGATAGTAGAAAATTTTCAATTCAATGTCAAGAGAGTCAATACCCCAAACGGAACACTTGAATACGATGGCCCCAAAAGGTACAATGACTTTTTCAAACTTGATCTTAGGGGGCGTTTGGTAAAAGGGTATCGGAATGAGGGAATGGAATGAACTGCATAATTGGTGTTTGATTCACTGGAATGGGAATTGAAATCTTGGAATGATTTCTAAAAATTTGGTGTCTCTTCATTCCTTAGTAGAAGGGTGGGTTTTGTCCAAAACCCAAGTGTGATTCCAAGATTTCTTTACCGATTACATATTATTTAGTATAATTAATATTAATATATATTATATATTATAATATATACATATATATATAATATTTTATTATTATAATATTTTATTATAATACTAGTATATTATATAAATATATATTATAATTATTTAGTTAAATATAATTATATTTATATAATATATATTATAATTTTATTAATATTATATAATAATATATTTATAATATATATGTATATTTATAAATGCTTATTATATTGGCATATAATTATAATATATACATGTATATAATATTAATAAATTATATAATTATAATTGTATTTATTATTTTAAATATAATAATATATAATAATAACTATATCTAATATTAATATGCATTATATTTATATAAAATATTAGTAAAATTAATATTTATATATTATATAATTATATAATTATATTTATATTATAATATTTGTATAATTATAATTAATTATATATTTAATATTTAATTAGTTACAAACTTATAATAATGATGTTATTATATTATATAATTATATATTATAATTATTTAGTTAAATATAATAATACTTATATAATATATATTATAAATTTATTAATATTATATAATATTATATTTATAATATATGTGTATATTTATAAATGTATATTATATGTACATATAATTATAATATATACGTGTATGTAGTATTAATAAGTTATATAATTATAATTATAATTATTATTTTAAATATAATAATATATAACAATAACTATATTTAATATGTAATATATATTATATTTATATAAAATATTTGTATATATTATATAATTATATATTTATATTTATATTATAACATTTGTATATTTATATTTAATTATATATATAATATTTAATTTAATTAGTTACAAACTTATAATAATAATATTATTATTTGTATGTATTATATAATGTATATTAATTTATGTAATATAATTAATATTATCAATTATACTAATAATTATACATGTTTACTAATAGAAATTATTAATTAGTTAGACTAAATTTACTAATACATTTATACTAATATATTTAATTAGTGAAAATTTCTTATATCTCATTTACAAAGAGCCAATAACTATCATTTACGATGGGGTTTATAATATATTTATTATATTCCATTCCGAAAGAGTCGACGAACCAAACATCAACTATAGTAATGATACACATTCCAGGTACTTGAACCAAACAAATGTATTAGAATGAATGACCTCATTTCAAACCCAAGATATCCGATTCCGAATCCGAATCCGATACCGATGTGCGAACCAAACGCGACCTTAATAATTAATATTCCAAATTCAACTGTGATATAGGACAATAGCAATTAGTGCATCTCAATACAAGGGCCCCAAAAGTTACGACATTTTCTAGATTCAACTGTAACATAGGACAATAATGATATAGACCTAATTCTCTATAACTCATCAAAGTACGATTAGCTTCTGGGGTTTGTCTAATGATCTATAGGGTCCTCCTAACTATTAAATTTAAGTTTAAATCTTGTATCAAGCAGTTGAGAGTAAAAAAGGTAGGAAAAGGGACAGGAGAATTAGAAAAAAAGCGCAATTATATTGATTTTGTACTTAAGGTTTGGGATGCTGTTGCTTGAAATGGTTGGACGGCGGAAGAACATTGATGCTAATGTGCAAAATGTTAGCCAAGTGTACTATCCCAAATGGGTTTACGGACGGTTAGTTCAAGGGGAAGACTTGAGAATCCAAGTTGAGGAAGATGGAGAGGGTGTCAGTGCCAAAAAATTGGCAATTGTGGGACTTTGGTGCATTCAGTGGAACCCTGTGGATCGTCCTTCAATAACCTTCGTTCTTTAGATGCTTGAAGGAAATGGAGAAAGTCCGAGTCTTCCACCAAGTCCTTTTACCTCAACAGATTCCATGAATCCAAGTAATCCAAGCTTGCATAGAAGACATTTGGCTTCAGGATTGGCAGTGATCTCTGAGTTAGAATAAGATGCTAAAGGTTAATTTCAACTGAACGTCTTGTGTGTTAATAGCTCCCAATGTTCTGCAAATACAAGAAACAAAAAGAAGAAATTGATGAATAAAATAGAGGTAAATGAAGAGTAGAACAGTAGTTCTTTTGCACTCCAGGATCAAATATACGACGTAGAACAGTAGTTCTTTTGCACTCCAGGATCAAATATACGAAGTGTTCATTTCCTGTAGTCAATGCTGTCTAGATCTGCATAAAAGTGCTGTTCCTCCCCATCAATAACTGTTGTTAAGGGAAGTACTGTGCGATTATGGTCACAAGTGAACACCAAAGCATAAGGGCACAAATCTGCATGATCACCTTTGAACTGAAAGGGGCACTTTAAACAGACATCAGTGCCTCTGCAAGAAGATGGGCTATGGTCAAAGCTGGTGTGTTTGGAATAGAAGGTATGATAACCAAGTTCGTAAAAATGGCTAACGTGTGAAGACCCGGAAAAAAAAAAATTATGTATGCCCTGAATTTATTTCATTTCTTTACTTTGATATTGGGAATATTATGTATAACGAATAAATGATTAAATTAACGGCCTAATTGAATCTCTATAGAATTGAGAATTTAGAAAAGATTCTAGGATAGTATAGAAAAATTTTATGAATTAAATACATATATGGCATGCATATTGTAATTTATGTTATTTGCAAACAAATACAACTACACACGTAAACTATACTAGAAGTTCAATCGGTACATGTCTAATAATTTTCTTAGAGCTAAAGGTGTCAAAATTTTTCCACGAAAATACAAATGAAGTTATGAGTCCATGCATGAATTCATAAAAAAAAAAATAAATAAATCAGGCCATAGTGAGCAAATAAGCTACAATTAAAAGACCAAACTAACCTTAAATTTTAGACTAACTACCAGGTGGCCAAGGCATAAGCTATCAGAATTCAGAAGACCAAAACCGAGAGAGGAATAAAAATTTAATTGATAGGAACCGAATAGAAGCCAGCAACCATCTACTTGTCTAAGCGGTGAAGTGTAGAAATTAACTGAGATTGGGGCGGTGAGTTGAGACAGCTGCCAGGAAGGAATGCATCACCAAATTTGCTGAATAAGTAGTGACCGAAAGAGAGACAATAAAGAGAAATTATCTGCTAAGTCCAAGCGGTGGAAGGGAGAAAACCAGTAGGAATTGGCTTCTAGATTGTGCGGTACCTGTTAAGACAGCTGCCCATTTATTTGCTACGTGAGGTGATGACCGAATGAGAGGAGCTAAGAAATTCATTTGTGCACTAGTTGGGCGGTGACCGAGAGGGTTCCATTCACTTCCCCTGTTCCCTAAAATCGAGAAACAACAAGAAGGAAAAACAGAGACCTCTCTTACCTTCTCCAACCATGAACACCAGCCAAGAAACAAGAGAAACTCCAGCTCATTTAACCAAGGAATCGAGAGAGGGAAACAAAAGAAAACCAGAAATCTTGTTCCAGTCTAAACCGTGAAGAGACAATATGTAATTAATTAAGCTCTTCTTCATTTTCCTGCTATGCCTGGTTAATAATTCCTTGGGATGAACTAGAACTGAGAAAGGAAGGAATTCACCGATAAAAGTTCTTCAAAGATGGAAAATTCTGTTCAAAGTTATTGCATGCCACCCGATGATAAAAAGCTGCAATTTTTTAGTCATTTCTCCTTCAAAATGTGTTAGATTATGTCTTCATGCATTATATATATTCCATAGTATACATATCTTGACATGGGTGCAGTACTTGATCTGAACTCAAGTGGAATGAGTGTAAAATATGAAGAAACTTTGCTGAATTTCTGTTTGGACACTACATGAAGGATCATAAGATGAAGCTGGAAATTTCCAGCTTTATCTCTAGAAAATTTTGTTAGTTTAGTCAAAAACTCACTTCATACAACTGCCATCTTCCTAATCCAGTCATCCATGTGTTATTTGAGGAGCTAAAAGCAAGAAAGGATTGACTTTAAAGCAATCTCAAAAGCTGGAATTTTCTGCACAGCAAATCGAGAGGGAAAAGCTGCAATTTTGGTTATTTCTCTAAAAGGTTTGCTAAATTGTGACTGGAACTCACGTATTATGATCTGTCTAATGTTTAATATGATTGCAAGTTAGATTTGAGAGCATAATGGAAAAACTAATGGCGAAATTTTGATTAAAGCTGATGGAACCTGCTAGGAAGGTCGAGAGAGAGAGAAAAGGACTTTAATCAATCTTCCTTCGAATTTTAGTTGTAAACCTCATATGTTCTGTTTAAGGCTACTTTGTAGCTTGATAAGATATGTTTTATACTTCTAGTTGGAGCATGAACCTGAAAGGAAATATTTGAGAAAACATCAAAGTTGAACTGTTATACTGCTGGAAAACTTCGTTGAATGATGCAACAGCTGATGACAGATTTTGTGTGTGATTTTGGCCGAACAACATGCTGAAATTATGAGTTACTCACCTTGTATATGCTGGACTGAATATACCTTAAGTATTTAGAGCTTTAAGCAAGTGAAAGAATAGAGTTTTTGACAAAAGTTGAAGTAACGGTACTGGATTAATTTTGTGGTTGCTGTCCGAGAGAGTGAAGCAGGATGTGTTTCTGTCCGGCCATTTTTTACCCTGAAAATATGAGAACTGGGTGTTGGTGTCTTCATAAGAAATGTAGGTCTATATCTTAACTTCGAAACGCTATAAAGTTTGCCTCAATCTGATAAGTATAGCTCTATTTATGATTGAAATACCAGAGGATGGCAAAGCTGACTTCCTCGTTGCCTTTCCTTTTGTTTCACATGCATGCAGCTTTGATGATGGCCGTGAGGAAACCAACTTTTAACTAACATTTCTTCTAATTTCCAATCTTGCAAGCTTTCATAAATGATAGCTACGATTGTTCTCAGATTTAATGGATATACCTAATTCCACGAGTAGGGTTACACTAACGCGATTGAGTGGAAAGTTACGATAGTTATATACGTAAAGTGGCTTCTAATGATTTAATATTGTGTTCATTACTATTTTAAAGACTATTAATGTGAGGGGCTGGTGTAGTGGAACAAAACCCAAACTACAAACAACTTAGAATCTGGTTTAGCTTAAATGGAACAAATGAAGAGTTCATTTGCCTTAATCCTTGAATATTGGATAGAAAATGATTTAATCTTAGTCTAAACATCTTACAAGACTTTAAACTTGGAATATATGTATATTTCTTTGGTTTCTATTGAAATTTGATGCTTAAATTATGTTAAAATTGCTGGTATGAATGTCATACTTAACTATATGGGTGGTTTGAATAAAAGTCTTGTGGTTTTAAAAGAGAAAAAGGAGTTTTTCACAAGTGAAAAATGAGTTTCCAGATTTTCGGATTTCACTAACTAGTCTCAATAAAATGCTTATATCTTGGTGTAGGAAAATCCGATTAAGGTGCCGTCAGTGGCATTTGAAACTAGAATCATGGGCCTTTGTTCTGTAAAAATTTCATATTTTTCCTCCATGTGTACTGCTGTCCGTGACTCCTCAAAGTAGGCTGTCCTGCTTGAATGTCCTGTTTCTTCAGGAAAATGACTTTTTGACTTGGATCGAATATTTGGCCTATTTGTGATTTGAATCTCTGAAAAGTGTCTTCTGGGATGTGATAGTACTAAAAATCTATTTTACAACAGTATAACTTTCATAATTGTTTGATATGTGGAACTTGAGTTGCGAATTTTTAAAGTTTACTGTTACTATTCATCTCCGTAGATTCCTGAAGCATAGAAACAAGCTTCTTGACTTTAAAACCTCAGACGGCCTACTTCCAACCTCGCACCTTAATTTTTCCACTTCCTTGACATCAAATATATCCCTATTGAACTTCTCTCGCTAATGTATCTCTCATTTCCTCAAAGTTTTACTCTTTTAACAAGTTACCTTAATTAAAGCGGTCAAGACTTGTACTTAGCTTTTAGCCACCATTTCTGAATTTTCAAGTGAAGCTTACATGCTAAAATTGTCTTGTGTGTGGATGACATTGAGCCTAGTGAAAGGCTATTGTGGTAAGATTATTTGTGTGATTTTAGGGCTGAATTGAGAAAAATAATGAAGCCATAAATGACTGGAAAATAGCTAAATACAAAGGGGTATGCTGTCCAAATTTTCACTCGAAGGTGAGACGTGTATACTCGCAGTTTGACCAAAGATTTGAGGTCAAATTGAACTCGAATCGTCTAGGGTATTCAAGTTTTCGCTCATAGAGGTATATAAATTAGAATTCGGCCAAACCTTGTAACCTTGGAAAAATGAAAGTAACGACTAATAGAAATACGTTTTCCTCCTCTCTTCGACTGAAATGGGAATTTCAAAGTTTAATCGCTTCAAAGTTTCAAAGTTTTAAGAGCGAGCATGAGTTTTACGAATATTCCCCAAATGAGTTTCAATTACTTGATTTTCTTTAAAAAAAACTTGAACCCTAATTGATTTCAAGTTCTTAAATGACGTTTTATTGCAGAGTTGAACTCCACACAAGGAGTAATACCTGACCGTGATCCGTAAAGGCACTACATCTTTGGTGAGTGTTCCACTACCTACTACCCGTTATGTGAAATATCTGAATATCGGAAATACTTGATCTATGACTGTTGGAGCCAAATACTGTTTTGATAAAATGGAGGCGAGCGTGTACTTTATCGCACTCGACCTCCCTTGTTTTCCAATGAGCCTCTGTATACTGTTATTATGAGATGAGATTTCGTTATACACATGACTGTGTTTGAGTTGTTTGGGTGATATCCCATCAACTACTGCTACTGTTTGGGTACCCAATCTCTTAGGTGAGTCGGTTGTATCGAGCCAGCAAGGGTTTGGTCGAGAAGGCCGATAAACCTTGGGGACTGATGTTTGGAGGTCTCTGGTGAAGTATAGCCGTTGAGCTTGCTTGTTGTGTTGCCCAGTACCACCAGTGGTAAAATCCTCGACTTGATCCTGTTTCTTTGGAATCTTGGATTCCTGGTATACTCGAGTATTACCAAACTACTGTTTGTAGCGTGCGGGCCCGGTAGGGGGTTGATTGGTGGACGGAGATTGGTGAAAGCGGTGTTCTACGGACTTGCATTTTATGAATACAAACGCTGACGGAGAGTCAATGGATCCAGTTATGATCAAGCTCCAGTGGTTACTGGCTTTTGAAAGCTACCGTATCCTTTAATTGAACTGTGATTAAATTACTGTCTTATTGTACGGAGTTTATTTGATTATTTTGTGACCTTATTTGGCTATGTGTTTAATCGTTTTACTTGGAACCTCACTGGGCGTTAGCTCACCCCACTCCCTTTGTTTTCCTTAACAGATCGGGGATGGATTTGATCAAGAGGTTTCTTAGCTTTACATTGTTTTGGACTTGTATTTGAGAGTGTAACCTTTTACTTAAGTAGACCTTACTTTTGACTCCTGTAAGCTTAAACCTATAAGTTCAACTCTTGTTATGTAAGTTGACTTTTGGCTATATGTATACTAAGTTTTTTGGAGAATTGGTGAAGTGATTATATTTTATTTTGGGTTACACTCCCTTGCATGAAAGATGTTTCGTCCGCTTCAATTGAGTTATTAGTACTTTGATTGACTGAACTCCAGCGAGAGTTGGGCAGGCAGTCCGCTGATACCCTAGGGTTCACCCTAAGGAGAGGTGGGGCTGTCACATAACGACAATAGTATCAAATCTGAATCCGGATACCAAAAAGTAAATCAAGATTAGGGACAACAAAACTACCAAAATCTGAACTTGCAACATGCTATTAATGATTAACTAAAAACAGCCGGATATGCAGAGGAGAAGGCGTTGCTTGGTAAGGTTTTAAAGCAAATGAATGCACTTTAACTAGTAAATTTTAACCTCCTTTCCTGGGAAAGGTTTATGGGAATCCAATCTAAACTTGACTATTGGAGTTGTTTATTAAGAAAAATTTTTCCATTAATCTCAGTTGACTTTTGACTAGCCACCCAATTTAGACTTTTCATTCTTTCATTTTCTTTATTCATTCTTTGTTAAGGGAGTCCAATCTAAACTTCTGTTATGTGGAAGGCAGTCCAATCTACACTTTAGCACTTACTTGGTAGTTATTATCATTAATATTTTTTATGACAATTAAAATTTGCAGTTTATGAAAATTAAAAATCCCTTCCCCTGCTAGTTCCAGGAGGGAAGAGAGGGGCTGCGGGGGAATGGGGGAGGGGAGAGGAGGAAGAGGGAGGGAGGGAGGGATGGAGGAGGAAGAAAGTGGGAGGAGAAGAGAGGGGGGGAATCGGCACTGCCGGGAAGAGTTAGGTGTGGCAGTGGGGAGGGAGGAAGGAAGGGAGAGGGAGGGAAAAAGAAAAGGAAAAGGAAAAAGAAACAAAAAGGAAAAGGAAAATAAAAAGAAAAAAGAAAGTTTGTTTTTTCAACTCTCAAATACACAAAAATTAAAATTTTCTAGTGTAGAATTGTAAGTTACAGTAGAATTTTATATAAACATCCAAAAATACACTATCCAAACACACCCTAACATGCTCATATGTCTATCAGGTTTTTCTTATCAAGAGTATAACTAGTTAAGCGTTTGTGGTATTTATAATCGTTTCTAAATAATGTAAAACCATCTTACCAACTAATTATCATTATAGGTTATTTGTATAATTTTGTAACAAAGATACAAAACTCCAATGGTGTTCATTTTGGAAATACATGCTAGTGGTATTAGAATTAGGTGGTGTTACTTGGTTTGTACATTTTAAATTTCATCTTATTGACAAAAATAAGAATAAAATAAAAAAATTAAAAATTAAAAGAAAGTAGAAGATGCATAAAGTGTGTCTGGATAGTTTATTATTTAAAATATTATTTGAAATAATTATTATAATATTTTTTATGATGTTGATGTACATAAAATAAAAACATGGATGAAAATATTGAAAAAAAAACTAGTTGGAAAACATGTTTATGAGCAAACAAAATAATATTTAAAAAATAAACAGAAATAACTTCCATAGCTATAAAAATTGGAAAGTTTTTAAAAAATCTAAAAAATAAGAATGAGAAAGTTAAGTAGCGCACCATTTTCTAAAGCAATACAGTCACAATAACCCTTCATGTCAATAGCTCCTTCATGTGTCGAAGAATATGGCAGCTGGTGTTACCCTTGAAAATCTCATTCTTCTTATTACGACTATTACGGGGTCGTTTGCCGGTGGATTGCTGCCTATGGAAATTTGGGGTTCATGGGCCTTCCAGGTGTGGGTGTTGCCTATCCCCGGATATCGAGACGGTAGAGCATGTCTTTGCTGAGGGTGATATGGCGTCACGCGTTTGGCATTTTTTCGAGGATCCAGTGGACATATCTTGGATTGGTTCATCGTTTCGTGTATGTTTGGCATCCTGGTGGTATGGAAAGAGGGGCAATAGGTATCTGGCCTTTGTGCATCATATTCTTCCATTTCTGATTTGTTGGCACCTGTGGAAATTCAAAAACTCCATAAGATATGAGGGGATCCAATTAGGGTTTGACAGGTTGTGCAACTTAGTCTTGTCCGACCTCCTAGAGCTGTTTGCATTGTACTTTCAGCAGCATAGGTCCTTCCCCGCGGCTTGGGTGCATTTTTATGCAGAGATTTCAAGGTGGGCTCCACGGGTGTCCTATACGCTAGTGAGGTGGTCTCGGCCTTCAGGTGATGCTCTCAAACTCAATACTGATGGGTGTTCCAAGAGTAACCCCGGTGTTAGTGGGAGGGGGGGGAGGGATTCTTCGGGATGGAGGTGGCAGGCTGCTCTTGGCATTTTCCTGCCATCTTGGTCATGCTACTAGTCTTCAGGCCGAAGTTCGAGCTCTACTTTTTGGGGTTAAGCTGTGCGTTCAACGAGGGTTTGGCAGATTGGACGTCGAGTTAGATTTTACTCGTTTTAGTCCACATTCTACTTGGTAAGACTAGTTGTCCTTGGGGTGTTTATCAGGAGATTCAGCAGTTGTTGGCGTTGCAGGATCACTTTTTACGGGTTAGCCACTGTCTCTGCCAGGCAAACCAAGTTGCTGATGTTTTATCGAATGTTGGGTGTGCTCAGGGGGGAGAGGAGATTTACACTTTCACGTCAGCGTTACCTCCGGAGGCTAGAGGAGCCATGCGCCTAGATAGGATAGGGGTGCCATCTGTTAGATAGGGGTCCGTGACCAGGTAGGTTAGTAGAGGCCGGTCTGTTTGGTGGTGTCACCTAATTTTATCAATAAATTATAGGGGGTGGCGTCCCTCCCCGTGTTTGGGGTTAGCCAATTTGAAAAAAAAAAAAAACAAAGTCACAATAGAAGAATTATTACTGCATCCAGAACCCAAAAAAAAAAATTAAAGAAAGGATGAAATCTGAGGCAAGTGACGATGCCGAACCTGTGCAATAATAATAATAAAACCTAACTACCATCAAAAGTAGTCAATAATCAATTCTAGGTACTGGAGCAGGGATTCTAGGTGTGCAATGAGTTACTTGATCATCCTGTTCCTGAAGAGTTTGCTTAATCCGATATACCAGAATTAATTAGCTGACTAAATTTACTAACTAGTAGACAGTGGCAAGCAGGGTCATCTCCTCAGGGACTGGGGAGAGATTTGTTTCCTTTCGAGTCAAGACAAATGGGGGGTTTTAGGATCAAATGCTAATGAATTGACAACTAAATAAATCAAATGCGAAAAATAATTAATTAACAGAAATAATTGGGGAAACTCTAGCCAAGGATACACTTCAGAAATGGTTCATGCACTGATCATCGATGCAAAAATAATTGCAACATTTACTAATAGATTAGTTATAGTTATCATACACGTGATAAACAACCAACTCTTCCTTACTTTTTTGATAGTCAAGGTACGACCGTTAACTATTTCTCTAATCAGGAAATAACCCTAGGTACGACCGTAGGATTTAATTTCTAGATTGCATTAAGCATTAGAAAAGTCCAACCCTAACTAACAAACACGCTATGAGGGTTTGTTTAAATTAGATCGTATGTTTTCCTGACATAAATCCAATTATGTCAATTGCTACCGGGACGGAAGTAATCGAACAATTACGGAATTAACTGCCCCCAATTAGCAAATAACCTACGTGAATAATTAAATATTGCGCACCTACTCAATCATACACAATAGCTATAACAACAATTAAAAATAGAAAACATACAAATACCAATAAATAAAGGAAATAATTAAAATAATTTAGATCTCACAGTTATTGTTGAACCAAATCTTCAGTTGTCCCCTTGACTAGAAAACGGAGATTTAGTTACACATCCTCAAGGGAAATCCGCAGGACTCCCTTGATAACCATTGGTTCCTCTCAAAAAACTAACGAAAAAAGATAAAGAAAAGAGACCAATCACGGCCGTCCTCTCAATTCCTATTTTGTAACTTCTTAAGGAAAACAGAACTCCTCCTGAATTTGTTGCTGGCCGAACTCTTAATCACGCCGGATCCGGCTTGTTGTTCCTATTTTCTCGTTTTCTAAGGGAAACAAACTCCCAATTGAAAAAAGGAAACATTCTAAAGAGAATATACTTAATTATTTCCTAATTCAACTCTACAACTAACAAAGATAATTAAAATCTTCCAAATTCACCAAAGATGTCCATATTTGATTCGAACTAGGAAATCTCCATGCGCGACAAATTCTCGAGCCTTTTGGACTTGAATGTAGGTCCCGAACGTATCACCACCAAATTAGATGGAAACTGCCCCTTTTAATCATGTTTTGCTTATTTCCCTACAATTTAACACCATTAACCAAATATAAGTAGAATCAATCAATTAAAATAATATTTGGATAAAATCAAGGGGGAAATAGTTATAAATTTAGCAACAAATTATGATCTATTAATTCCCACTCACCTAAACCATGCTTGTTCTCAAACATGAGAGCAACAAATCAAGCAATCAAATCCAAACAATGGCTATTGCTCAAATATTCTATTGCCAAGATACAATTAAAACATATGTCAAGCATTAGTGACAATTTTCAAGAAATAGCTCTCCAGTTAGCTTTCAAGATCAAGGACTTTTTCAATTTATAACTAACTAATCTAAGAATATAAAATATTCAACCAGCATTCATAAGCAAATAGTTCGATTATTAAGCAAAATATCAACATTAAAATTCATGAATCAGCAGGCTAACAATTCATCCAAATACTTCCACATTTTTCACTATTGACATATATTTTTTTTAAAATATCCCCACACTTGATTGATTTTTTTTTTTAGGGGGAATGCTTAGTCTTTAGTCATTTAAGCGTTTTGACGCGAACTCCGATATTGGCCAAATGAAGGAGCCTGGTTACTCAGCTCTCATCGCTTAAAAACCACATACTCTGATAGGTCATAATTTGTTGCTAAATTTATAATTATTTTTCGGGATAATTTCAGAAACCTCCCCT